GAGAGAGACGCAAAAGCGGTTGCAAACATTGAAGCATGCATTCCAAAAATTATAGATGTGGCGCGAATATGGCAACTACTGCGACCACATTTGGCAAGCACCAACTGTGTACGGCACTAAGCTAGAAAACTGTTGAATAATAAACACTGGGCATGTGCTGCTGCTGCAGCTGCAAYCAAAATCGAAGGTGATTCACATAACCGAAAGAGTAATAAAATCACAGAGCACGCACTTGGAATGAAACTAAGCAGCGTTGCGTTGGCAGTGAGCAAACAGAAATGCATTAGCAGATATGCCTACAAAAAAAAAAAAAGAACACATATGTATACTTTTCTGAGTATGAGTACCTTCATAATGACAAACTGACAGTAAGCGCACATATCGTAGCGCTTTGAAATGCAAAAACGCCTCAGGGACAAGGTTGACATGCATCGATTTGCGGCGATTGTTGGTTTTGACAACAAACATGCGCTACACTAGCTGTTGTTGTAATGAATGATTCTTGCTTTGCAGTGCATTTAGTTGAGTGCAAGCGGCGCAAAACTCCAAAGAATTTCACACAGCCTCACAATGGTGGCAGTGGTGGCGCAGGGGCTGATCTTGAACTAATTTTCGYGAAATAGATGTCGCAGCGGCGGCGGCGGCGACGGCGTCGTCATGTGCGCACCAATTTATTAGAGCATTAGAGCAACAAGAACAACAACAATGAACGCATCATACAGTGGCCCAGTAGTAAAACTGCAAACGTTATGCTTACGTGTTCGATTTGTGTGTGTGTGTGTCTGTGTATGTGTGCGCTATTTAGCGCCAAACGCCCAAGGAGGACAAGCATGAATGCCGCCATTGAATGTGCGATGGCAGCGCCTCCAGTGGCATTTAATTACAAATGTATATTCTTTTGACTGCATTTATTTATTTWTATTTTTTTCGTCCGTCTAACGCTGACACTGATCGTAATTGTTTGTGATTTTTGCTATTTATTTATTATTGCTTAGGCGCTGAGCATTTGCGCGCTAATCGCTCAACATTAATAGCGCACAGTCGCCGGACGCTGTTGGTTACTCATACGCCCCGTGCGCCGCTCGTAAAACTGCAGCTGCGTACGCACGCTAAAGSGAATGCTGCTGTTTCAATAGAATGCAACTATTGATTTGAATTTCTAATAAACAATGCATAAATTCATAATTCTCAGCGCACATTCGTATGTGCTTGTGTGCGCGCTGGTGCGTATGCGTGCGCTTTGAACTCGTATTAATTTGATTTGCCTACGGCAGGCAATGCGTTCAATTATCGCTATGCTCACAGCCATCACCTTCACAGCGCGTAAAGGTCACATGGCAATGTTAAGAAGYAACTGCAACGAGTAAGCGGCAGATGCTTGTATGTAAATTAAGATTACAGAAATTTGTAAGAGGATAGTAAATTAAAGAGTGCAAATTTATAGAAAAAATATGATTTTATACAATGCAGTTGCATTTAGAAGTATTTAGAGGCTTTTTACGTTGCATTTTAAGGCCAAGGTGTCTCGGCAATTTCCCAGCCTTCTATAATTCACCACTTGTTTGTGTGCTCTATGTCTATGTGTGAGTATTCTAACTGGTTGTGGCTGATTTGCGGTTGGCGAGGCCTACAGCAAGTGAGTTTCAGTGCAAGGAAAGTTTAGAAAATTGCACTAGTGCAATGAGCCATTAAAGAGCCGCTTATAGACAAAAATATATTAAGTTAGATGTTGTATGTGATAAAATGAGTCACAGCTGAGTGCCAAGGGTGAGTCAATGCTAAAAGAAGAGTGGATTGTAGAATGCAAGTAAGCCTTTGGTCAGCAAATATTTTTTTATGATAAAAAATTTTTGTTAAATATGCTTATTTATACTAAAAAAAATTTTTTTTTAATATTAATTTACGGGAATATAGTAAGACTCCCGTATTTTTAAAAATATTTTATAAAAAAAATATATTTATTTAGCAAAAAAAAAGAGTTCTTTTATTAACAAATTGAGTTTTTATAAATTGTATAACAAATTTTTACACCACAGTTACAGCTGTTCAAAAATTAGTGAAAATAATGAAGAAAGTCGATATATTTTTAAATTTTTTTTATAAAAAGAGGCATTTCTCACTCAAGCCACCAATGAAATTTGTGAAGTTTACGTAGACGATATCGCTCCCGTTCTGGAAACTTCGAAATGGAATAATGTCTCTAGAGAAAAAATGGCAAAAAGTGGTTGAACAAAATGGCTCATCTTTGTTGATTTATTTATTGTTATAAAAAGAAATTAAATATTTGATTAGAAATACGAAAACACTTTTTCGGCTTCCTATGTAAGGCTGCGTTTATAGGAAAATTAGTTTTATTTTTCAATAAATAAATAATTATTTTTTTGTTGTTATTAATATTGCTATAATTTACCAAGCACAATTTCCTTTCATATACCTCCATATTTTTCCGTTTTTTGCAMGCTTCCTGCAAACCAAAATAAAAAGTTACTCATACGCCCTGTTGCCTACCTTGAAAATCATCGCCATCGCAAAGCGCGTACTTGACAAAGACCACAAGAAGTGCCCACTCGGCCGCGACTACTTGCATGTACAGCAATGTCACAGTGAAGGCTGCATGCAGTCACACCTTAGCGAATGCGAAGACAAACAGCAACAACAACAAAATAAAAGCAAAAAAAATATGCAGAAAAATAATAATTTATTGTTTAACTGCAGAAGCTGCRGGCAAACGCGTGCCCGACTGCTTTTAACCACAAATTCAAGCTGATGGCAAGTAGCAAATAATTGTTTTTCAAGAACCGCCAAGCCAAAGAATGATGAATGAATGAAAAGCAGCAACAACAAACAAACAACAAACACATTTGCATACAAAGGAAGCAGAGAAGGCGTGTGACAGATAAGCGCATGAGCAGACAGTTGGAGCTTGCAAATGTCTACAATGCGGCGCAACGAAAAATTTGTACCTTATTTGTTGTTATTGTTGCTGTTAGTTGATTTTTTTTCTTCTATTTTGCCGTTTTTTCGAAAACTAACTTTGTCATTGTGACAGCTGCAACTTTGTTGGCGGCCAACTGTGGTTGACGCGCTCGGCTGACTGTCACAGCCGCCAGCGGCAGACGGCTGTTGTTTTGATTTGGAGAACCGCATAGCAGCACATGGCATCGGATCGCATTGTACAGCATAGYCTAAATGACATTGTAAGAATATGTGGTTGCACTTGATGCGGCCATCTATGGYGGCTAGGTGGTGGCGACGACGATGGCGGCGGCGGCTTGCCATTAGCAGAGTGTTGCATTTCATGGTTAGAAGCGGGTTTTTGCGCCGTTGCGCGTTTTTGTTTTCTGCGGTGAGCGCCTAGAATCGCTGTTGACTTTGAAATCTGCTTGAATGACAGGCGAACACGTCACCAGCGGCGCATTAGTGCTTGCGCGCGTGCGTTTGACAGTGGAAAATGTTTAGCAAAAAAAAAAAAGCAGAAAATTTGCAAAAACCTATTGCCGCTAGCTGCTAGTGTTTTCGTATGCACACATTGCTTAGCAATTGCCAATTTGATTTATCCAGTTTTTTGTTTGCTAATTTTGTTCGCCCAATGTAACGCGATTTTCAATTTCATTGCTAAAATGATTGGTCATTATTTTATGGTCATGAACATTGCCGTTTAGTTTGGCGCTCGCAAGCGTGAGTGTATGCATGCTTACATGGTGCTGCAGCTTGCTTGCATGTCCTTAAACTATTTGCACGCAGTGGCAAGTTAAAGCGAAATCTTTGACATTGCTGTTRTTCTTACTTTGTTTGTTTCTTGGAAATTCTTTTAATTCTAAAGAATCAGTGTTTGTTTTTCATTTTCTTTTTCAGTTACTTACCACTTTACTTTAGAATTGGTTGTGTTGACGCTAGCAAATTACAAGAAGCATTGAGTTTTTAGCGTAAAAGGTAACTAAACGGCGCTCTATTAGGTATGTACAAAATTCCAAGCTGCTGCCGAAATAAGCATTCAACTCAACGAAAATTTTGTGGTAAAAAGAATTCGCATCCAAAATTGATCTTGCTTTAAAATTAATAAAAAAACACATCGATAGGTGACTTCGCTTGACCGTAATCTTGATTAAATTACAGTATTACAGAAGTATACATTTAGGGTTGGTRGTTAGTCAAGGTAAAACGCTAGCTRAATAGATAGCGCTGTGACAGAAAYTGATTTCAAAGTAATGATTATAGACACATTTGCGGCATTTTCCAAATAATTGTGGTTMAAATTTAATAAAAGCCTTCAAACTTAGAGCAATTTGTATATAACTGGTTGCGCTGGTACCCAAATGCATCGAAAATTTGAAGGAACTAATATTTTTGATAGTATTTTATCATACAAACAATTAAAAACTAAGCAATTTGAGGGTTAGATTAGGTTCGATAGCTGAACCAGAGATCGCTCTTGAACTACTATATGCCTTTCTTTGTGGAACCATAAAAACAGAACTCCTGTATTCGAGCCTGTAAGTCAGCAAGTGGCCTTGTGGCCAATACAAATTTGCTCAGGCGTTTAATATCTATTCCTGCCAGCTCGGTTGGATGTTCGCAGGTRTGAGCTTCCACGTGTTTAAGTGTTGTATTCGCATGCGCGGGACAATCAAGAAGGAAGTGTTAGATTTATCCACCTTCTTCTGCTTACATACAGCTTGTGTAGCTGGCGTCCGGCTTGATAGTAAGTTCTGGCGTAAAATTCTTTTCAATATTTTAATAACAGTTTCTTGCAGTTTTGTAGTGACTTAAAAAACTGTCTTTGTCTTCTGTTTATTTTGAGAATAGAAAATTGAAAATTTTCCATAAACTTTTAGCTGAGGCAATTGTATGATATTTTAATGCATTAATATATAATTTCTATTAAAATATTCACGAATTTGAAGCTCCTATTATATTGTCGTCCTTTTTACACACAGTATAAGTGACTTATTTGTATATTAAACTTATTTATGGTAAATATTAAATAAATGTTGACTTACCAAATTAGTTTGCATCATTCGGTTGTCTGCAAGAAAAAKAAAAATTTTGTTAATAAAAATTACAAGCAATTATTTTTTGGTACTAAAATAAGTTTYAAAATCTTTATTTTAAGGAATTATTTATCCAAATATTATAATAAAATAAAAATAARTACAATACTTTAGATATCGAACATGTGAGAAGCTACTCTGTAGCATAAATACAATATTTTGAATTTTTAATATTTTAAATACTATATATGTACGTATACTACATGTAAACATATATATGTAGTATATCACTATTCTAAAAAATAGCACATAACATATCATGGCAATCACATGCGCAGTACAGTAATAAATAACAGTAAATGAAAATAAATCATAAAATCAGTTATTCAAAGCGCTTAACCGCAGCTGTTATGCTCTCACATACAGCTGGCGCTGCCATAATTTATGAGCGGTTAAAGCTTCGAGAAGGACTGCAAATGACATATGATCGGTAGTTGTTCTAAAAGCGAATCAAAGMTGTTTTTTTTTTAATTTCMATTTATTTTATATAAAAGCGTATTCGAATGTTAATAATAACAGTTATTTTTCTACAGTTTTAGACTAAATCAAAATTATAAAAAAATAAAAAAATACTATACTATATTTCAATAAGCAAGGAAGAGCTAAAGTTCGGATGTGACCAAACAGCTTAGCCGCTTGCAACTTGCCAGAATGAAAGCCACGGACTTACTTTGAGGTGCAGGAAAAACTGTATATTAATACTAAGGGAGGCTAAAGTAAATATTGATCCGCTTCTAACCATATGGGACATACGAGCATAGTATTATCAGGAGAGTATTTTTTACAAATTAATGTTCGGTGARATAGCCGGGATTCACATATTCGGTATCTGGGTGGTCTGGTTGAAAAGTTTGGTACGATTTTGACAATTTCTAGTTAAATGTGTGCAGTCATTGGTGATTGTTTTGCGTATTGGAAAGTGAAAGATATGTATATGCATTAAACCACTAAGAGGGCGGGACGAATTCGCTACGCCTTAGTAGTGCRTTGCGATTTTTACAATGGACAAAAATATCGAGCAAAGAATTTGTCACAAATTTGTATTTTTGGTAATTCAGTTTTATCAAAAGCACAAGCGGGCGGGTGCAACAAAGCATTCAAATTTCAATGATGGTCGAGAGATCATAGAAGACATGCCTCGTTCTGTACCACTTCAACTGATGAAAATATTAAAAAAGTGAGGAATATGGTGCTTCAAAATCCACCAAAATCATCAGGAAATTGTTATAGAGATAACAAGAGAGCTCGACATACATATCTCGCGAGTCTGCTCGAGTGATTTTGGTGGATATTTTGGGTATGAAACACGTTCTTTCTCGACTCCCCGATAAAGCTGATATTTTTTTTGTTTTAAAAAGTAGCGAAATAGGTCTCTTGTTGTGCCGGCTTCTTTGTGCTGGTCGTAGATTCCGATCCCAATCAAGGAAACCATTATAAGTGCCGATGCGGTATAGGTTTATGAGTTTGATATCAAAAAAAGTCAACAATCAACGGAATGAAACTTATTTTCATTAGAWAATTAAGTTCACTTCAAGAAGCTAGCTAAAATGAAATCGAGAGAAGGTGGCCATGCGATGAGGCTGAAAAATTGTGTGTCACTGGGCAGATTTACTAGGGCTTAATTGTAATTGGATATRTATGTGCTTTGCTCCTTTAGTCTCCATATTTTTGATTGTATTAAAAAAAAAATAATGATTAAAGACCAATTTTCAAAATTAGGTGCAGATTTTTTTTTTTGTTATTTTTTCAAATATTGATATTTAGAATGCATAATATTTTTTCTCTCACTTTTTTCTGTTCTGAAAATTTGATGTCAATACTGCAAATTTTCAGCTATTTTAACAACTTTTTCATATTTTTACCAATTATACATATGTGTTAATTGAAATATTATTTTTCCAGTATAACATATAATTAATCAAAAAATTCAATAATATTTCTGCAAAACTGTACTTAATGCTTTTACTCATTACACATTTTATATTTTATAATTTTCGAAAACGTGTGTCTCGATCAAGATCATCACTTTTAATTGCGCGAATTAAAGATCACTTTGAAAGATCACAATCGACAGTAAAGCAATTTATTATTTCACACGCCAAAGTGCAACTGCGAGGCGCATCCTTGAGGCCACATACACACATACATATACATATTTATATATTGTGAATTGTATCTATAAATATATTTAATAAAATATATATTGCATTTTAATAAAAATATATGTATCTTTTTCAGCACAAACACACAGTCACCATTGCAATAATCAAAGAGAAACAAAAATAAAAACAAAAAACTTGTTCGCTTTGAAGGTCAGCGGTTGTGCAACATTGCCCTTCAAAATATGCGCACATAAAAACAATAATAAATGCAACGAAAAATGCAACAAGCAAGCGTACAACGCGTCAACTAACCGGCTAMAAGGCAGAGTCTAACACAAAAACAACAACGGTAAACTAAACGAAACTGATGCTGTAACCAGCTGAAGCTGAGAGCGCGACGCAGACAAAAGTCAAAGCGCCGCACGCCGACAAGAGGAGCACGCAAAGTCACCGTTGGCTGAGCGCAAGCGAACGACTGACAGGCGGCGGAGCACATCGATGAGTAGTTGGTCAGCAAAGCAAAYAAGAAAACTGTTTGTTGCAGCAACCGTTAACAGGCTGTAAAGCGAGCGATCAGAGACAACAAACAACATGCTGGCCAATAACATGCAGAGATAATGGCACTTAACAGATAGTAGTCGGCCGAAACCAGAGCTTGGCTCAAATGCAAGCGCAACGAGAAAGAGGCGGCGCAGTCAGCGCGCACGCGCATGGTGAGTTTTATAAAAAGCAGCAGCAGCCRCGTCGCACGTCCGGCGGCGTAACCTTGACCTGGTTCTTGAAATTGACAGGCTGCTGTAACAGCAACAGCAACAACAACAACGGCAATTAGTGGTGGCGGCAACGACAAGTGACGTTGGCGCATGCGTCCATTACGTAGTCAGCGCACACACACACACACACACCTTTGTGTAGATATGTATTAAGCCTGCTTGCATGTTTGTGTGGCGTTGTGTATTTGCAAATGCCGAAGACTGGTTTTTGCTGCAGCGTCGACTGGTTTGTGCGCAACATGTTGGAGGAGACACTTGATTTTGCATACACACACACAAACATACTATTTGCCGGCAATGACGATGCCGTAGTACGCGTGGTTTGTATTTGTTGTTGTTATAGCCATTATTACATTGCCAATGACGACGCGCCGCTACCAACGACGCGCGCTCGCTATGCGCATRCGCGACACGCCAATAACTCAACTATGCTTAGTACCAGCTGTTGTGGCGACTAGTTGGTGTTGTTGTCATTGACGCTATTCTTTTTTAACTGCCATTCGCATTTATCATGTGAGCGCATTATTGTTGCCGTGCATTTAACGACACTTAATTAAGTCGCGCCAAAGCGGAGGCGTGTGCGTTTTTAGAATAAACGATTAACAGCAATTTATGCATAAATATATTTTATTGTCATTTTGCATATGCACACATACACATATACATATATTTTTGATTTTTAATGTCATTTTTAATGCGCTTGCCTTTTTTATTTTCTTTTTTTGCGACTTTTAGTCGCGCTTGCCTTTTTCGGCGCGCGCTTCATGTGCGTTTTGGCATTGCTGATGGCCAACTGGTCAGCAGAACTGGTGAATTATTGATTGCCTATTGCATGCGAATAGGTAGAATTATGCACACACACACACAC